GTATCCAGTTGAATTTCCTGACAAGTTTTTGAAATTTGGAATGACTCCATCTAAAGGTGTACTGTTTTATGGGCCCCCTGGTTGTGGCAAGACACTTCTAGCCAAAGCAATTGCTAATGAATGCCAAGCCAACTTTATCTCCATTAAGGGGCCAGAACTTCTCACAATGTGGTTTGGAGAATCAGAAGCTAATGTTCGGGATGTTTTTGATAAGGTTAAGTTTTTATCTTGGACTTAAAGCCATGTACTTCAGTAGTAAACTTTCACAAAAGCATATTTCTGTAGTATAATCTAATTTGGAAGACACCAGTATTTGGACCATATCCACTATTTATTACCTCTTTGGCATAATTTATTACACTATATAGAAATCAAACAGCATTACAATTAATGTTAACTGAGCCAAATTTAGTTTGACTTACAAGATTAATATACTTTTGTGGTTGTAATTTAAAGGAGGATGCTTATAAAATGCTGTCAGACTATAAAAGAATAAAAACTCTAGAATGCATCATTTATTAAGTTAATAGAAAGTATGAAAATTAATTTGAACTATTGTATTGATGGTATGTGAAGTTTATGAAGTGTACTTTAATTGTGTTTGTGTAGGCAAGAGCAGCTGCTCCGTGTGTATTGTTCTTTGATGAGTTAGATTCCATTGCCAAAGCAAGAGGAGGAAGTATTGGAGATGCTGGTGAGCTTAAGTGCATAAAGATTTTACTCTAGTTATTATCCACACTTGTTAGAGAGGATGTTTAATAAACTTTACTCAGTTGAAAAATGTTTTTCTTAAAAGTAAATTTTAGAAACCATGTACTGTTGATCTTGGTAGTAAACTTATTAGCATGTATATATATACATAACAAGACACTTGCCTGCATGGTTAATGGCATATAAAACACCTAATAGCATGGAAAATAATATATATATATTACTTATTAGCATGGATAATACATATAGACTACTTACTAGCATGATTAAGAATAAATATACCATTTAATAGCATGATTAAGAATATGTATACCACTTATTAGCATGGATAATATGAGCATATAAGCCATTTACTATCATGGATAAGGAAATATAAACCATTTACTAGCATGGATCAGGGCAAAGAAACCACTAACATGGATAAGAGCATATCCACCACTTACTAGTATGGCTAAGGGCATATAAACCACCTGATAACATGGATAAGGACATATATGGCACTTATTAGCATTGATAAGGGATTATAAACTGCCTACTAGCATGGATAATGGCATATATAAACCATTTACTATCATGGATAAGGTAATATAAAACACTTAACTAGCATAGATAAGCCTCTTATTAGAATAAGGATATAACAATCCACATATTATCATAAGGATATAACAATCGACTTATTAGCATAAGGATATAACAATCCACATATTATCATAAGGATATAACAATCGACTTATTAGCATAAGGATATAACAATCCACATATTATCATAAGGATATAACAATCGACTTATTAGCATAAGGATATAACAATCCACATATTATCATAAGGATATAACAATCCACTTATTAGCATAAGGATATAACAATCCACATATTAGAATAAGGATATAACAATCCACTTATTAGAATAAGGATATAACAATCCACTTATTAGCAAGTATAACTTATAATTAGTTTATTAACACTGAAAACAGTACATAAGCCCTAGACTAATATTTAATTCATTGAATTAATGTCAACCAAAAGTGATATCTGGATCAAAAACTGGATATTGAATTACTGTTTAAGCTTGCTGTAAAAATAAATGATCTGTGTTAACAGTATATGTGAATTATTAGCTTAAATTGTTCCTTAAATTCATTTTTTACTTGTGAGATTAATCGAATGTTGTAATATTTTCTGTTGTAAGACCATTGAGAATAAGTGCTTTAATAAGAGAAAAAAAAATTAATTTTGTTTTTCATTAGAAATACCTTAAATGAGAAACTGTCTTTTCCTTTATTGGTTATATAAGAGTGTAATGTTTGTTTTATAACATACATTTCAGCCATTGAGCTCTGAATTTTTATAATAAAGCAGGACTTTTTTTTTAGATTGTAGGTGAAGTTTTCCTCTCTTATTTTACTACACAGAAATAATTTCTTAATGGAAGAGTGTCAGGAAGTTTTTTATTCATTTTTTATAAAAGCTCACAAAATTTCAGTATAATCTCTAATACCAATTTGGAAACGAGATGTCTACTTGAAGTACTGTGAAATACACAAGGAAGTATTTCAGCTTTATCAAGCTAATCTTTTGTAAACATTTTCTTTAACTTGCAGGTGGTGCAGCGGATCGTGTGATTAACCAAATTTTAACTGAAATGGATGGAATGAGTTCCAAAAAAAACGTATTTATTATTGGAGCAACTAATAGGTTAGTTATATGTTTTTGCTGTTTTCTGAGTTAGTTTGAGGCAATCAAGCCACTGCAAATTAAGGAAATTAAGTATGTATACATTATTGAGAAAAAAACACAAAACTTGTTTGTTATTAAGTGTAGGTATATTTACATAAAAAACAGAATTATTTTACATTTTCTATAAAAAGTCATTTCTTTGTTTTGTAAAGACTTGAAAAGTATTTACATTAAATTCATGTAGCTTTACCCATATGAATTGTAAATCAGTCAGTCAGCAAGGAAAGACTTTGAATATTAGAGTTTTGTCTTTTAACATGGATTTAGTTATTAATGCTCACGTTAATAAAAAATTCATGATGTACAATGATAATACTTTCAGCAGTTTTAATACGTTGGTGTTGTCGCCATAGTGTTTTCTGTTTTAGGCCTACTTTATATGAATTATTTTATTATTTTCCATTTTAGCCATACTTTACATCAGTTATAGGCCTACTTTATATGAATGATTTTGTTATATAATGATGCTTGCAACCATTTTAATAAGCTGGAACTGCTAGAATGTGTGTGACATATAGTAAAAGGACTTTGATTAATTGAGTTTTTGTGAAGTTTCCAGAACATTGTTGTTTCTTTCTTAGACCAGACATCATTGATCCAGCCATCCTGAGACCTGGACGGCTTGATCAGCTTATTTACATCCCTCTACCTGATGAGAAGTCCAGAATTTCCATCCTTCAAGCCAACATTCGAAAGTCTCCAGTATCAAAAGTATGTAGGCTTTAACTCCAGAAGCCAAAATGTTTAATATTTTAATTTCTAATGTTTCCTATTGAGATAACTCCTAATAAAAACATAATTGTGAGTTAAAAACCTTAGTTGAGTATTTAACCTCCTGTATTTGATTAAAAATGAGTATTTCATAAACATCTATGTGAATGGAGCTCAGAATCATAAATCTTGGTTCTATGTTCTTTGATGTTAAGATCTTGATGTATTTGTTTCTACATTAAATCAGCCTGTTTACTGTTCTTTGATGTTAAGATCTGGATGTGTTTGTTGTTACTTTTAATCAGCCTGTTTACTGTTCTTTGATATTAAGATCTGGATGTGTTTGTTGTTACTTTCAATCAGCCTGTTTACTGTTCTTTGATGTTAAGATCTGGATGTATTTGTTTCTACATTAAATCAGCCTGTTTACTGTTCTTTGATATAAAGATTTGGATGTGTTTGTTCTTATTGTTAATTAGCCTGTTTACTGTGTAGGATGTAGATCTTGGTTACATTGCTAAAGTGTCACAAGGTTTCAGCGGTGCTGATTTAACAGAGATCTGTCAGCGGGCATGTAAACTGGCTATCAGAGAGAGCATTGAAGCAGAAATTCGCAAGGAGAAAGAACAAGTACATACTGATACTGAAATGGTAGGTTTCTTTTGATGTTGTTTATGAGTAGGGATTGATTGTAATTAAATCTGAAGTAAAAACTGTTCAGATATAGTTTATATGTTTATCACAGTATATGTGAAGGATCAAAATTTTGCAGTTGTTTCCTTATAGATCAACACAATTTCGTTACTTTGTATTAACCCTTGCGAGATGGATCACGGTGAAAGGCCATGTTATCTCATTTGTTGACTCACATTCAAAATTGTATTTAACTACTATTTCATGAATTTATGTCAGTAACTTTGGTATCAAACTGTAGATTATAATTCAACATTTAGTGCTATATATTACTTAATTTCTTAATTTAAAAGTAAATATTAAAAAAACATAGATAAACATCGATTTTTATGTGTCAAATGGTATGTTGAATGCAGCACTGGTTGCAATTAGATGTTTGTGAAGTCAATATACTAAGCCTATAGTTTCGTATGAATTAGAAATTCAAATTACCGATATTGACAAGCTAGAATATAAAATAAGAAGTTTTCTATTTGCTAAGATATTCATCTAATAAATCAAACATAGTGGCACCCCGCCCACATTTTTCCATTTCATGAAACATTCCCTTATATGCACTTACTTCTCTATATGACATGAATAACCAATTGGAAGCTCAGAATGTCCTCGTAGTAGTTTTCTCAGCCATTTTAACTGGCTTGATACCATTTCTTTCTTTTGAACCGATATTTCAATGAGGTAGGGTGTTTTAGTCTGCTCCAAATTTCATACTTTTTTAGACTAAAATACATCTTAGTTACTAACGTTAATAAATTATAGTGGAATTCTATGGTACTGATGTAGTAAATTATGATTTTTTTAGTTACTCAAATGTATATATAAAACCTTAAAAAAATTGTTTCATATCCTCCAT